AAACTAACACGAGTCTCATTAAGTATCCAGTTTAAGGGTATTACACAGAAACACACCACAAGAACATGAATCAAATATGCACTTTATTCATTTACAATAAATGTCATAAGTACATCAATCTGATTGGAGCTAAGGGCATACAACTGTCTAACATTTCATGGTGCGGATACTGTGTACCTAGAGAAAGTATCTAACAAAGGATAAGCTTCCTCAAAGGGGATGCACATTCCATCAACAGTTTAAGCACTATGCCCCCAAGATTTCAGAATGGAAAATTATCTCTTATTTTTGTTGCTTAAGCCCCACAATCTGATCCATTTCTTACCTTCTTTGGGCCTGAAATGTTGCTTTTCCAACTCATTAGTGGATTTGAGGTCAGGTTGTCAATTCAAAACCTTAGTAAAGGGGGGAAAGGCAGCCTGGACTATCATCCCTCTTGGTGTTATCTTGGCCATTTGGAGTTAAAAAAGGCCATTATCCATTTAGAATGACAAAAAGTCCTAAATCTTTGAGCAATGCTTTCATGCCAAGGAAGTGGCTCTAAGGAGGGCAGTGACTTGGCTCCACTTTTAGTCTTAGTTGTCAACCGACATGTCTTTCAGAAAGTAGAGCACTGCCCCAATTTCACTTTTGACTCACTTTTTGTGCTTAAAAGGTCTTTGTTGAATGTTGATTGCCATTATCATACAAATTTAACCTTATATGTGGCCTCCTTTTTCTAGATATAAAAAAGGGCATTACCCAATGTTGGCCCCAGCTATCTAAGGTCTTGGGAGGGGTACTGGATATGGTCCTAACCCTTGGCATTTTTTGCACAAAGTGGCCAATCTCGGACTCCAATCTACATTCTCAAGCTTGCCAGCCCAAGGTTTTACTCTTACACCAAGTAATGGCTTCTTCCTTTTTCCAGATATGTTCACTGAAAACTAAACTATTTAACTATAACTTGAGAAAACAACACCTTACCTTGTTTAAAAATAAAAAGGAAACAGTTATGCCATGAAAACCAATAACACAAATCTCACTAACCAAAAGCAATGTCATGCAAAATATCATTTAATAGAAGATAGAATACAGCAAATGCCTTAACAAAAATGGTTTGAACTGCAGTGCTCTGTAATGGGAATCTTCACAAAATCACTTATCAAACAATACAGTAATCAGTTACACAACAATTAAATAAAGAATATAAGCATCTATCTGATACAACAAATCATAAAAGAAAGCATGTATAAAAAGGTCCTCCAATAAAACAAGAAAAGTGCAAGGATAATACAACTGCAGTTCTGCTGAGTAGCAAAGAATACCCATAAGCATATCCTCACAGCGCAAATCAATCAGTCTATACAGATCCAGCCTTGGGCTTGAAAGGAAAAAGCAAATGAAGTCATAGTCCAGATCCTCTGAAAGATTTTCTCCAAGTGTATCAGCAGAAAAGGAATCATCATGATCTGACATTTTTGAGTTTATCTGTTCCTTGAAAGAATCATATGGTACTTGGAAAGCAGATGGAGGTGAACCGCTAGACTGAAATGGACCAAAAAAGGAAAAGAAAAAGAAAGGATTCACATAATTACCTTATACATTGTACAAAGTAATCATTCAAACATGCTGCAAAAAATAAATAAATAATATACTAATAACAAATTATTCAAAATTCAACAAAAAATATTTCTAAACATCTGCACTATCATTTATTCCTACCTACGTGGACTAACAGCAGAATCCTGTTCTTCCAATAAAGCAATACTAATTCTATAAGCAATTGTCAAGCCCTAAAAGAAAACAATCAAACTAGACAAAAGTGCATTCTCATAAAACAAATGAAAAAAATAAGTATCAATTAATTATACCCATAACATAGTTTTTACTTAAAAGAACCCAAAACATAGCATATCTTTCACAATTCCAAGGTTCAGGAAGATGAAAGAAAAAATCAACAATTAACCTTGATAATCTCAAGGCTGCGTCTAAGCCGATACCAGTCATTGGAAGCCAAATATTGAGCCTTAGGGTCACCTGCATCCACAACCAACCGCACAGCTGCATCCCAGTCCCCATCCCTCTGTAAATTCATGAGTTCTGAGTATACTTCAGAAGCAATCTCGGGAGATGCTTTTGGGACTTCTGGCTTTCCGTAAATATACCTTCCATTTTAATAGAAATTATTGTCATTACGCAGCAACCAATTAGTTCTCCAAACTAAGTACCTTAGAGGACAAGTAACTAAAATTGAAGATGAAAGAAAAATCATGCTCTTTATCTCTTTTCAACATACTGGTAGAGGCAAATGAATAATTGGAGAAAGTACAAAGAGATTTATCACAGGAATGCTGAATAAAGAAATTCAAATTCCACATGATGAATTCCTTTTTGCACTCCTAGAGCAGCCAACAGACCTGGGTAATGTGAGAATGTCTTATGGTTGTGAAGGGTATTGGAAAGGCATGTTCTTCTTTCTTTAAGGTCATTTCGTATAGGTCTGAAGAAGGTACCAGACTACCAGGATAAGATTATAGGAAGATCCATTACTTCACCTGTGATTGGTGCAATTTCAACTGGCCAGAGCCTCTGTAAAGGCCAAGTTTCAGCCACAACCCATACCTCAATTAACAGGAGGTGGAGTCACTGGTTTCCTTGTAAGAAAAATTACATTCATATGCCTATAAATCAGGCTTATTGTAGATAGTGGCTATGCTATCCCCACATGACTTGTCTACCAATCTCTCTCCTTCTTTTTCCCCCTTTTTCAGAAAGATCAAGCTCACAGTAGGAGAATATTCCTGCAACCAGGTTTCAGGAACACATGCACATTGTGTTGTGTATGCTAGTCATTTGAAGAACATAACTAGCCTCCAAGTTTCAGAAGCAGTGAAAATTTTATAAGGCATCTGATTTGCACAAGAAAGGCATGCCAAAACATACCATCGTAAATATAATCCAGTTCCACCAACAACTATTGGTACACGACCATTTTCAAGAATTTCTCTTGTAGCTTGCCTTGCATCCTCAAAGAATTGTCCAACTGAATACTCTAGAAGCAGAAAATAACATTATGTTCCAGATAGGTGATAAAAGTACATTGAAGAATGTTGACCTCATAAGATCAAAGAAAGTAAAAGCATTTTGTAAGCAACCAAAATACAACCACCAATTAGTACAAGTAACAGAGATTTGCAAAATGTCTTACAGGTCTTAATGATGACCCATGCTAGTATTTTACATAACATAGGCATTATGTCTTACAGGTATATATGCACACAAAGATTTGCAAAATTAAGATGCAAGAAAAAGTTCATTGTGTATGCTAATGCTCTAAGCTATCACAAATTCACAATCTTGACAGATTGATTTGTGGACAAAAAAGGCCTTTATCCAATGTGTTTTTTTTTTTTTGATAATTAGGCCATTATCCAATGTTGGTCCCAGCCATCTGGGATCTTGGGAAGGGTAGATTGGATACAGTTCTACCTTCGGCATTTTTACAAATTGATGTATGGATATCAGAAGGAAATAACAAAAAGCACCAATTATGACAAGGCATCTTCTGATCTCTAATGTAAGCTCCATTTCATCTGATTAAAGAGAATAAAGGAATTATAGAGCACATGCAGTTGAGCTAATGCCAATGTTAAATTTCTTGTTATATGGCTTTATGAACTAAACCCAAATTGTAGACAATACCTTCAGATGGATGCAATATGTCAACCAAATGGTGTGGAACTTCCTGCAAAAACAACATAAATAAAAGTAAAGAAAAACATGAACATGTGTAACAAATGAGGCTGCTAAGTTCTAGATAACATAGACTCCAAGAAAGATAGATGAGCAGCAAATAAACTTAGAAACATCACAGCAAAACCTTTGTCATAGATACATTATATGTTGTAATTTCCTTAAAGATCAAAACTTTAAAGTAAGTTGATAAAAGTTTTCTTCCCACCATAGATTAAGACTATAGTGTGGCTAGGGAGAGAGTTGGGAGAACATCTCTCTACAGGGGAACCATAGTTCCAGGATATCATTGTATTGTGGCTCTATTTTATCCGATTTGAGTATGCTCAGACATATAGGTTGTTATCCCCTACCCCAGTTATTAGAATGATGGGATAGCGATATATCTTATATTTCCATTAACAGTATCCATTTTGACCTTATTATTAATACAAAAAAAAAGGAAAAGAAAAACTTTAACAAGAAAATTCATTCTAATAAATCAGAAATCTAACTACTATATTGCTAAAAATGTTTCACGTTTATATGTTCTGTTCTTTAAAAATTTCAAAATGTACAAATGATAAGACCTACTACGCAAAGGCCTTCCATCTCAATGTCAGTTTCAATCCCATCTACATGAAATTAAAACATTAATTTTTGCAGTTAGCTCGAAATTTAATAAAAATTCAGTAATAGAAATTTGAAATGTTGAAAATTTGAAATTTTCTTGAAATCAAAAGGTCTCAAAATTCTTAGAACTCTTGTCGGCACTAGAAACATGATCTATCCGTAAACTTAACAAATTCCATTCTCAACTTCCGTGCTACAAATTGTGTTAAAATCTATTTTTCCTAATAAATGCTAGGCGTTCATACAGAAAAACAAACAATAGAGCAGAGTTCAAAGGTGAAGATTCTATAAGTATACGTGGTTCACTTGAAGTATGGATAACAAAAATAAAGTATCAAGAATTCATCAATTCAACATAATTCTTGTGAGAGTAGAAATTTAGAACCTTTCTATCACTCAAGGAAGGCTTTGCCGATCCAATATCAAGTCCGCGGTACACCTGTACCACATGTCACATCGAATTATTAAATTTAAATAAATACGTGCCTTTACCAAATCAATGCGTTATATATCCAGCTGCATAGAAGAGTAAAAAAAAGCTACTTGTTTTTGAGGGCGGAGAAAATGAAAACCTGCACGGAATCTGCGCTAATGATTTCTCCGTTGAGGCGTTTTGCAAGCTCCAAGGCGAGCCTGCTTTTTCCAGCGCCAGTTGGGCCCGAGATTACGAGAACCTTCTCCTTCTTCCTCTTCTGCTTCAAGTCTAAAGTGCAGCAGGTAGCTAATGTACGACGGCGAGAAAACGAAAGTGTAGGACATCTGGGAAGAGGTCGCTCCGCGGTGGAAACCAGCCTTAGACCCCATGCCCGCAATCCAAGCCCGCAACTCATTTGAGAAAATGCGAGAGCGGGCGAGCGAGAGAGAGAAGTGAGGATTGGGCAAATTGATGCTCACTGGCTCAAAAAGTATGGAAAAATTCCATACCCTGAACTTTGAAACTAGTGTCAAGTTAATACTTTAAACTTTCAAACGTATTATTATAGTATTCAACCTTTTTTAGTCCCTCTTAGCAATCCGTCAGTTATTTTATCTTTAAAATTTGGGTAAATTACAAAGACCCCTGTACTATGGCGTCTGTAAGGTGAGATGACGAAATGCATGAAATTACTAAAATACCCTTACTAAATTATTTTATTTTCATTTTACTCTTTTTCTCTTAAAACCTATTAAATCTTTTGTTTTCCCTTTCTTCTCTTCTTTTCCCCTTCCTCACCGTCTTTCTCTCATTCTTTTTCTCTCCCAACTCTCCAAAATGAAAGACGGAGGAAACCCATTTATCACCTTCCCTTTTTCTTCTTTTTAGCAAACGCCGCCAGTAGTACTCTAATGATTATTGCCACTGTCTTTCTAATTTGGTCATCGGTGGATTAAGCTTTTTCTCTAGAAAATGAGTCACTCTCGATCCCTCTCTCCCCACACTCGGCTAAATCCAGATTTTGCAGTAGAGAAGCTACGACATATTAGATAGAAAGGAAAGGGGAAGGTTAAGCTGGAAGAAGAAAGGGGAGCAGAGAAACATCTGCAATTATCAGCAGTCATTTTCAACCCAGGTGCCCCTACGGCAAGTACATGACAACACTCCCTTTCTCCGGCAATGATATAAGCGACCCTGCACAACATGCCATAGCTCCAAACACACCGCACCCCCCGCCATCGACGGCAACAAAGATGACGAGCACAGTGAAGCGGACGCAGGAAGAAGAAAGGGGAAGGGGAAGAAGAGAGATCGAGGGAGAGAGATAAGCAGTGATTTCTGCATCTCCATTGTTCGTGTATCGTGAGGTTGGGGAAGATTAACAGTGTTTTTCTTCCAATTCTTTGAATAATTATTAAAAGGGCAGTATAGAGATTAAAATTTATTGCAACCACGAATTTCAACCGAAAACTATTAGAAGGGGTCTTTGTCTCATGATCATAGTACAAGGGGATCTTTATTACAAAACAATGTATAAAGGGTCTTAGTCACAGACCCCATAATACGGGAGGTCTTTGCAATTCTACCTTAAAACTAAACCATAACAACACTGAGCTAGGATTGGATTAACTTAATGAAAGAACAAAATCGTGAATTGATGAACTCAAGCCCATGAACACCGGTGCGCGTACAGTCGGATCCATCAACACTTGATCCACGAACACGCCTTTGTTGAAGTGAACTAGAGCAGCCAACGATGGGGAGGTGCCACCGCCTTTGAAGTTGTACGAGCAAGTTCGCACACTACGGTGATCAATGAATTGAAAAACAATCAATGAAATCTGTACGAGCAAGTTCATACATTGCGGTGATCAATGAAAGTTGTACGAGCACAAGAATGAAAGCTTTAAAATGCATGCTTTCTCTTTCCACCAGGCACCAATCGCTTAACCTGCGTAGTTCACGACAATTGCATCTGTGGTCTCTCGCCTTCTTTGACTCCAACGATGTCTTCGATTGTTCTTCCATCGGTTTCCCTATAGAAGATATCTCTCAACGCGTCAATCCTTTATACTTAACGTTGGTGACCAGTTTTATACCAATTTAACACTTTTTGAAAGTTTGAATGTTGCATTGACATGATTTTAAAGTTTGAGAACTAACTTGAAACTACCTCTAAAATTCAGGATACTAAAGTAGAATTTTCTCAAAAAATATTTCTCACGAGACGTAATTCTGTGAATCCATAAGTTCACAGGATCCGTGAACCCACCAACCAGAAATGACTATATCGTTGGGGCGAGTAAAAGGTTACGTTAACGGAAGTTTGGCCCTCAACACAAAAAAGACAAAAAAAATTAGAGTTCCCTCCCTCCATACAGCAGCATCCACCAGTGTCCTCACTCCACACCGGCGTTCGTAAACACGGAAGCCACTGGCGGTGAGAGGGATATCATAGGTCGAAGAATCGCAAAAGAAGAAGATCCTAAGAACGGACGTTGGACGCCGGACGCCAAATGATATTCCTCTCGTCGGTGGCTTGCACGTTCACGAATGCTAGTATAGAGTGAAGACGTCGGTGAATGCTTTTCTAGTTAACGTTACCCTTTACTCGCCCCGACGATGTGGCCATTTCTAGTTGGCGAGTTCACGCATCCAGAACGTGAACTCCTTTTCCACGATCTTCGACTCTTCACTGGACAACCTCCCCATCATTTGAGGAACTACGACTGAGTAGGCAGACAAGGGACTCTATGGTGCTATCCACCTATTCAATTTCATGTCCGTGTCATTTTTCACTGTATATGTGGACTATTTTTAATTTTGATCCATGTATCTCCACAGATAATTATTTGAGCAGCCACCAAAGATGCCACGAATAAAAAATGCCACCACGTCAGTGCCATATAGGCATTAGTGTTTACCACTGTTTGGTTTCAAACTAAAAAACATAAAGTCAAATTTCTTAAACTATTCCTACTATTTAGTTAATTGACAAACTCTACCATTCTTGTTCATATATTATCTTAAAGTACCCCTACTACTTTGACAATTGACTACTTGCTCCCCTACCGTTAGGGTTTTATCATAATTCGTCATAATCTATTCACATACCACACCACGTGATTATTATATTTTAAGAAAATGACAATAATACCCTTGTCTTCACCCCAACACCGATACTTGTCATCTGAAATATGGGGTTGTCGGTGCCTGCCATCTGAACATGTTCTTGCTTTTATTCACCCCTGACACCTGTGCTTGCTATCTAAAACATGAGGGTTGTGTTGATGCTTGCCATTTGAAAATGGGCTCAAGTAGATGCATCAACAAAATCGAATCCCTGTCGGATAAAAGGGGTAGAAAGTTATCTTGGAACAGACATTGGTGAGAAGGAAAGAGGGGAAGAAGAACAGAAAAGGAAGGAGGATGAAGATAAAGAGGGAAAAGAGAGAAGTAGTGGCCGGAGGAGTGGGGATTGCTGGTGCTGCTATCGCAATGTCGGGGAAAATGAACAGTATCTTTCCAATTGATTCTGGTGAACACCGGATCCCTATCAGAGTCACAACAAACAAATAATGGCCATTTCTCTATCGCCTACACAACACCACCGTCGGAAACACTATTGGAACCGCTGTTGCAACCCTACCAGACTAATGTACTCGTTGTCGAGTTTGCTGGTCAAAACCAATGGAATTGTAGGCTACTTGATCTATACTCTATCTTTCCTATGGATGTTCATGTGGCCACCTAAGGCCTGTGCAGTGGTGAAACCTCGCTTACAAAACACACACCCATATGATTGGGTATGCTTTGGTTTTCATTAATCTGACCCATTTATGACTCATTTACTTTGGTATATTACCTATAGTTTATAATTAACAATTTCATTTTATTTTGGGGGTTGTGTCAAGTCAACCCCCGAACTTCAAAATGTGTCTCTACAGCACCTTAAACTTTCAAATTGTGTCTACTAGGTCCCTACTGTGAGTCAACACCACCACATGACATCGAATGCACATTAAACAATTTCAAAATGACAAAACTACCCTTATAATATTTTTCTGACCATTTTACCGATTTCGTCTAAGCATTAAAAGAAGGAAAGGGGGAAAAGGATTATGAAACTAGAAAGCTGATCATCTGGTTACAATTGATCATTGAACGGGGGATCTTGAAAAGGGGAGTGGGAGCTTTAATAGTTGATTGGTGTTCGATTTCACAACCCTTCTTCCCCTTTCCTTCTTCTAACACTCAGACGAAATGGGTAAAATGGTAAAAAAAATATCATAAAGGGTAATTTTGCCATTTTGAAACTATTTAATGCACACTTGATGTCACCTAATGGTGTTGACTAACAGTAAACTAACAAGGGACCTATCATACACAATTTAAAAGTTCAAAGTACCATGGTGACACATTTTGAAGTTTAGGGATTGACTTGACACAACCTCCAAAGTTTAGGGTATTGTTTGGGAATTTTCCCTTTATTTTTTATAACTCATACCAAAATAAATTAATTATTTTCATGATTAATTAAAAATTCCCAAACAATATTACTATTTTTAATAATTAATAAATTTCATTTTATTAATGTTTTTGGGATTAATTACTAATATTGTCGATATTTTACTAATAATTTACCAAAATTAATTAATTCTTCTTAGGATTAATTGAAAATACCAAAAGTCACTTAAAATCTATTATTTATATCCGTGATTTGTTAAAAATTGCCAAAATTTCATTCCAAATATATTACTATTTTTAGTAATTAATATTAATGATATATTAATAATTCATGATTAATTAATTAGTGATATATTACCAATAAATTAATTAATACCAATAATATTTAATTAATTCAATATTACTATTAAAAATAGTAGTATTTTTTATAAATTAAGAATTATAAAATTTATTAATTCATAATTAAGAATGATTAACTATAACTATAAATTTATTATTAATTTTTTAAAATATTAATTATAAATTTTAAAAATAATTATTAACTATTTTGTGAATTATTAAAAGTTACCATAAAATATTACTATTTTTAGTAATTAATATTACTACTAATAACTATAAATTAAAATTAGTGCTATTAATTTCTAGCGGGGACCCTACAATGCATGAGTTTTGTTAAAAAATTTGAGGCAAAAGGAGCTAAGGGTGTACCTTGGGTTGGGTGGGCCTAACTCAAGCCCGACCAAGTTCAACCCAAGATTTTGCACAATTTAGGCTTGAGTTTTTGAACTTCAAGATAGGTTTAGGCCAAAAAACTTAAGGCTAAGCTAAACTCAAGTTGGGTTAAGGCCTTAGGTAGTTTGAGCTTGACCCAACCCAATTTGAGCCCCTGCCAACATTTTATGATATACATATCTACATATTATCAATATGTTTTACATGTAAATTGGGCTATAAAGCTCAATATGCCTAAGCCCAAATCCAACCCAAGATGTTAGGTTAAGCTCGGGTTGAGCCTGAGTTTACCGACTCAGGCCTAGGTTAATAAATTATTAGTAATTATTGACATTCTATTTTTGTTATATATTATTTATATTATTAGTAATTATTGAAAATTTCTAGTATTTTTGCTCTTAACAAGCTAGCCATAATTTGAGCTTTGTAGCCCAATTTCTAGGTAGAATATATTGATAATATGTATACCACAAATTGTTAGGCGAGCTCAAATTAGTCAAATTGGGCTCGAGCTACCTAAGGCCTTAATCCAAGCCCAAACTGAATTTAGGTTAGGATTGAGTTTTTTGGCCTAAGGGCAACTTGAAGTTCAAAAACTCAAGCCCGACCTATGCAAAATCTTTGGTTGAGTTGGGTCGGGCTCAAGTTAGGCCTACTTAAGCTGCACCCCCAACTCCTTTTGCCTTAGGTTCTTTTAACAAAGCCTATGCATCGCATGGGTCCCCACTAGTAAAGATCTAAACTAATACATAGCCAACTCATCCGATGTACACCATTATCATCATAGATGGTTTGATTTGTTGAGTGGTTATATATCTTTTTGGTCTTTACTCATAAAGTTCTATTGGAACTGTGGGTGTAACCATGGTTTACATTCTTTATATGATGCAAATCTGCTGGTAAAATCATACCTTATGTTGTGTTTGGTTTCAATACAAAATTTCATATGCATTTGTAAATGCATGCAAGTGCAAAAGGGCTCAGTGTGAATTTTGATTTATTTTTACTTTAAATTTATTCTTGTCTTATTTTATTGTGAGAAGTAAAATAGGAAATAAAATGAAATGACCTTCATTTTAGATGAAAGAGAATAGAAATAGGAAGAGGATTATTTGTTAAGAGTAAAGTAGAATGTAAGATGATGTGGTCCTCACTTTATATGGGAATGAATTGAGGTAGGAGGAAGGTGGTGCAAATTTTGTATCAGTTTTTGGAATAGAAATTTTATACTGCAAGTGCAAAAGAGATAAAAAGTATAAATTTTTTATCAGTTAGGAATGTAAAACATAATAACAAACAAATAAAAGCAAAATTGAACTAGATAGAAATTTTGCACCTAGTCAAGATTTGCATCGCAACCAAACACAGCCACAAAAGAAAATTAAAGTATACCTCCCTGATGATTTTGGTTAACCAATCAACGCAAATACCAAGACCTCGTTGGTTTACCTGGTAACTACTCATTCATCCTTTATAGTTTGAGTTCCAAACTTATTTTACCTCTTCACTAAACTTCTCTCAGTTTCAATTATTAAAAGTGCTCAAATGACATTTAGAACTTTTAAAATTGCCTCTTTAATACATGGATCAAGTAGGCACAAAGTTGCAAGCATGTTCAATGAGCACTTAGATATTTTTTTGACACATGCCCCTTAATATACCTCTAGCCTGCCCTTGAAAAAGATTAAAAACCACTTTTGACACTTGCCAGAATATTTATCAAGTGCTCATTGGACATGCTTATTATATTGTGTCTACTCGATTTGGTCCCCTTTTAAGATTTTTAAAGTTAAAATACTCATTATCTTATTTACTTAGAAAATAAAATGACATGGACAAATGCACTTACCCAAATCCTAGGAAACACTTACCTAAAAAAGTGATGCAAATAAAGCCTAATTTCCACCAGGGATAGTTAATTGAAGAAGAAATTAGGATAACTTTCATACACTAAAAATTTCAGAAAATAAAACCATTACTACTTTAATTGGAAGTTGTATAGATATACATATGGATCACTATAAGAAAAATGACATTTGTCAACAGTAAAAAATTGTTTCCAATATGGAAAAATTGTTGCCAAATGTTTTACTTACAATTGAACGAGTTGTTGCTACCGAAACCATTGTTGAAAGTTTTTTGCAACAATTGCAACAATCAAGTGTTGCGGTATATGCTTTTTCACAATAATCGGTCCAATTGTTGGCAAAAATAGTGTTTTGCAACAATCATTTGCAACCGTCGCCAAACAAATTGTTTTAGTTGAAGAATTGTATCTAACAATCATCTTAGGCAACAACCTGTATAAATTGTTGTTGAATAAGAAACAATCAAACAATTGTTGCCCCAAAGTTTTTTATACAACAATCAAGCTAATTGTTGCCAATTATAAATTAGCAACAACTGAACAATTGTTTCTTATAAATATTTATGGCAACAATTTTTATGAATTATTGTTGAATTAATAATAATCAACCACTTGTTACGTTAAGCTTTCATACACAACAATTAAGTCAAACGTTGCTAATTGTAAAGTGGCCACAATTGAATAAATGTTTCTCATAAATATTTTAAGCAACAAGCCTTATGAATTGTTGTTGAATTACATCCCAATTGTATTTATACACAAATGTGTTAAAAATATATTATAATTTCCCAATTGCTATCATAAATAATACAATTAATACATTGAAATTTGGTCTAATGACTCACATATCTAAAGTTGTTTCTTGGGCTAAGTAACCATGCTAATGAATTGGTTGAAAACGATGAATAGCTCATGAGAGTTTGATTCCACATATTGAAAAGCTCCAACTTTACTTTACATGTAATTGTCTTGTGATGGAATACTTGGAGTATGTCGCATTCATTCAAAAAATAAAATATAATAAGTCAAAAAACAAAACAAAATGAATCAAGCATCAAGCGACCCTTCTTGCAACTTGTATACAAATTAAAGTTACATGTATACAAAAATTAAAGTTACATGAAGCAAGCATCAAGCCTCATCATTGTTTTATACTGTGAAGGTATTTCCATCAAAGCCATTAGAGCAAACTCTACCTCTTTTTCTCCCTAGTGATGTTGGATGTACTAATCAAACCACCAAATCAAATCTTCATTTCAGTTGGAGATTAACATAAAGAAAACTCAAATTAACAAGGCATTGTCACAATCATGTTAAGTGTGATTAGTTAGCATTAAGGGTGTGAATGGACCAGTCTTGGGATGAACCCATCCAAATCAAAATCATTTTGAATGGATTGGACAGACCAATATGACATTGAATTGGATGAATCCAGACTTAATGGTGCAAAGTATTCATTGGACTGGATTGGACCTAGTCCACCATAATGGATTTATATAGGATTGGGTCATATTGAACCAATATCCAATCCATTGATAGAAGATAAGAATACATGTTCGATGGACTAGATTTGGGTTGGAACCAATGTAAATTAAAACCAATCTGTAACAAATTAGGTGGTCCAGACATTAAATTGGACTGGTTCAAACTGGTCAAAAGTATTCATTGGATTTGATTGGATTGGACCTGGTCCATCTGCATGGGGCACATATTGGACCGATCAAATTATAGCAATATTTGGTCCATTGACAGCCCTAATTAGCATAAAAAATAACTAAAAAATTCCAGTTATTTGGTTAGTGAAAATTGATAGAACGTGAGTTACTCAAATCCCACTGTAGCCCAATGGTTATGGTCTTTGCGGTGGGCATTCCAACGGAAATGAGACCATAGTGTGGGCCCTCAATAGAAGGCAAGATATGAATATCGTGATTGTGTTTTTCAGAAGGGACCCAAATTGGAACACCACATAGCATTAGCAATACTAAGGCATTCAGTAAACCATCTGCCTTTGGAAACCCAAGAACCCATTTGCCTTGGTTCCTGGTGCGTGAGATGTTGAAGGGAATATTTCCCATTAATAGTCTTAGCTAGAAGCAACAAATATGGTATTATGGGAAAGCAAGGTGCAAACCAACTGGTTGGGTTGGGGGATGGGCTACCCCACTGTGTAACTGTTCAGAAGATATAAAAAATTGGTATTATGGCAACAACCATAATAACAATAAAATTTCTACTTAAGGAAACTCAATGAGAAAGGTGGTATAACTGTTGATGTGGTAAAATAACAAATCTACAACAGTAACTACCTTGCCTATTTCAAAGGGTTAAGTGAGCTTTAGAAATCAAGAAAGCATAATTTATGATAAAAAATCATAGTATACATTTCAGGATGCATTTTAAACAATCTAATTTCCACCATAAGCATTGCAACATCAGTGAGAATGAGGAATAAATCCTTTTTCTAGCATGCCATACTTCCCTTCGGTCAAAATTTATTCAATTGAAACTCTAGAAATTATATTTGCAGTTACCTGAATTGAGAAGACATCTTCAATTGGCATTAGGAATGGCTTGTCATTTTGGCGAATGGGATCAGGTATGTACTCATCCACAACATCCATTAATTTTAGTATAGCCTTCTTGCCTTTTTCTTCATTTGTCCTATTCAAGGCAGATAGAGTTGAACCCCAAATAACTGGAATTTCATCACCAGGGAACTTATAGAAATTAAGCAGCTTTGCCAAAGAAGTAAATCAGGTCAAAAGATCCAATGGGGAAGCTTAATATATTAGTTAATCAGAAAAAATGAATCAGCCATTCTATTAATACGAAAACCTCAATGTCCCGTTTGGAATGGAGGGAAAAAATACAACAACACTACACTGGCCACACTATCATGAAAAAGTACATTTTAAAAATAAGCTCCCCTGGCCAGGTTCCTCCAAAACCAGGTCACCCCTTGTTACTCCTCTGCTTAGTGTGCCTGTAAAGTCAAGCTATTATATAGCTTGACTAGTAGATGCATCAAAAACAAACAACCCCAAATTTGAACATACCAGGGAGCTCCATTTCTACAAGTTCGAGTAGCTCTCATCATCAACAATATCAACCTTATTTTGAAAGAACACTAGTGATGGCACAACAACCTGAACCATGGAAATTGAGATGATGAAATAGAGACAAGACAAGACCCTTTGGTCTGGCCTTGTATTCAATTTTCCCTCCCATCCATTTCACTTCACTCCACCAAGCCTTGGTCCCTTTCTCTCAAGAGATGCTAAGTGCTAATCCTTTTCTTAAAAATGTTTTCTTTCCATGTGTTATGAATTGTTCAATTGAAAGCTTAAGAGAATGAGAGGTTCAAGTTAGAAACACATGGGAAGTTATATAGATTTTTTTCTTAGAATAGGAAGATATGGAAGCAAGGCAAGGAACAATAGAGTCATTTAAACCAGCATCTTTATGAGTTATCCTTACCTAACTAGGATAGGTGACATAGCAAGAACTAAATTGTTGACATTAATTCTATGAGGATTGGAATTACCGTAGGGCATTGGATGGAAGAAGCTTGTGGTTAAAGGTGACTCAAGTGATTATCAATGGCTAAGTTGAACTTCTCATTTAAATGGATTCCCAAGTCATCCAACAACTATCCTCCCTGATGATGTAGACAACGAAGCCATATTTAATATGACAAATCAAATAATATATAATTAATATTATTACTTTATTATAAGAAAAATGTGATTATTTTAGTAGAAAACCATCACATTTTCTCAGGACCACCATTTGCCTCAAAGAATCAATTTTAAAATACAGAAGAAAAATCTTCAAAAATATATATATGAACTTTGAAAATGTAAATAAAATTATTATCTTATAAAGATGGAAATGGAATCAAAGGTCCCCTAAAATTGTAGGGTATAGAGAATAAACTCACCCAACCCTCATAGAAAGGATAACTTGCACATAACCTAACTCTCATTGACCTGCAAAGATAAGCAATTAGTCATGTTAGATAAACGCTTAATAATTTATATGGTAACTGAATGATGTAAGAAAGATTGGCCGTATAGCTAGTAATTTGCATTTAGTGCTGCATTAAGTTCTTGAAACAGGGATGAACATTAGACCCTATGTATTTTGTCTCATTTTGGTAACCAAAAAGCCTAAGTTTATAATATGACTTGATTTCATATTTCATAAATAAGATTTTAGTTTTTGAGTTTTGAAGCTAACTTGCTCCTAAAATACTAATAAGACTATACTTCTCATGCTCCTGTGAACAAAAGTAATCATCTTAGACATAAAGGGCGATATCTAAAAAACCATATGGCTGCAATCACTAATTTAACCTATTTTGGTTTTTAAATTAATTTTCTGATGAAAAGGGGTTTTTAATCTAAATAAATAAATAAATAAGGCGAAAAGGGCATAACCCCTGTTTTGGTTCAAATAACAAAGACGATCATAGGATTCACTGTTCACAAGAAAAAAAAGAAGAATCCATCCATTCAAATCAAGTTAAAGAGCAGAAAAAAAAAAAAGATTATGAAATACTGAAAAGCTCATCTACTTCCTCTAAGCACCAACATTGAATAGGATGAAAAAAATAAACAAAGTGAGTATTAATCAAGATTGAGGAGCCTTTTCCATTAAGTTGAGAAAAACTTAACAATGATGTGCTATTGGCAATTGAGTTTGGGAGAGAGTATCTGAGCGAAGTGTTGCTTGACTGAAAAAAAGAGAGGGAGAAGAAGAACAACAACAACGATCCTACGATTGTATAAATTAAACCCAAATCAAAAGAGAAGAGAAAATAGAAATAATTGAGAAAAGATTGAAAGCCCTACCTGGTTGCTCGAAGTAGACAATCAATATTGAGAAGAAAACAATAATGTTTAATTTGAAAAAGTGAAATCCAAGAAAAATAAGTTCGGGGGGAGGGTCCAGGCGGAAACTCATTTTGCGCGTGCGGGTTCCTTCCCTCTCAACGTTAGTTTTAAGTTATTAAATTAAATTAAGGTAAATTTCTTAAACTACCCTCGTGGTTTAGCTAATTGACTAAGTGTATCCTTAGTGTTTGAAAATTGACTAAACCTACCCTTAATGTTTCTAACAATTGACCAACTCTACCCTTACTATTAAATTCCATTAATATTCCCTAAAACTCATTCATACTTGACATTTATATTCTTTTTAAAACCCAATTTTACCCTCACCTCTCTCCCCTTCTTTTTCCTGTTGGGTTCAGGCATATTTGCAACGTGGGAGAGCCTTGTTGAAAGGGATGAGAGATCCATCATATGGATGGCCGAACCCTATAGGAAGGTAGGGCGAAATTTCAAAAATTTTCTTTCTCTCATATGAGAATCACATTCCCTGTTTTAGAAAACTGTTTTTCAATGATCAATCTTGAACCAAGAACCGAACCAGATCTGAACAAATTCAATAGGAGAGGGAAATACCTGATACGAAGATGCAGTATCTCCCAACAAAGGTGCTCACACCCAAAGAAAAACTCCAAAGACTACTCCCACTGAAGATGACACAGCGAATGGTGGAATAGAATCAACAGGGTCCGTCCAAGGAACCGAATTTTTCAGCAAGAATTCAATGGAGGCAATGAGCATGACTTTTGATCAGCCTTTCTCCAAAGACTAATATCAAGACTCTTCTTGATCGCTCTTACAATGGAGATCGGACTAGTAGTATGGCGGCAACTGGAGGAGAACGCAGGGAGAAAATGGTGCAGCCACACTGGTGCTGTCTTCTCTCTGTGTAAACTGAGATCTGATCTCTGGATGCTAGGATGGGCTGAATGGTTCGCCCCCTCCTCCTTTTATAGCCTTAAAGAGAGCTCCTAATCTCATTAGGAGTTTCCTAATCCAAATCTGTATTTGGATAAGGAGTTCTCTTTAAGAGATAAGGATAAATCCTTATCTTATCTGCAGATTAGATCAGCTCTCTCCTAATCTTATCAGGAGGTTTCCATATTCAAATCCATATTTGAATCTAGACTCTCTTAGTGGATAGGGATAGAACCCTATCCTATCTGCTGATTTAATCCCAGATCCTCCCTCTTATTTAACTAATCAAATTAGGCCAATTCGAAATGGGCTTTAGGCCCAATAAGTCTAAGTGCTCAGAATGCTTCCAAACTGCTGCCCAGTTGGGATTCTTTGTATGGCATGGGACCCAAACATTGATCTACACATCAGCCACATGGGTTCAGCCCAGCCTCTGTTACAAGGCCTAGCCGAATTCACTGAAAAGACAGTGAACCCCTTGAAGCCCATCACATGGACTCCTAATGGGTCCAACAGTTACACTAAGTGGTCCCTGGGCCAAGCCACCTTATAAAAACCCAGGGACTGTGGGCAGATGCAAGATTAGCCCATCAGGTATAACCCTCAATGACCTTACACTTAACCTCTCAACCCATAATGATCAAACACTGCCCGATAAGAGAGGACCTCTCCCTCGACTGCAAGAACAGTGTTGCACTCTCTACTCACATGGATCCTGGGAATTAAAACCTTTTGCAAACATTTTGAAACCGTAATATATATATATATATATATTTTGCAAAACCAAATTTCAATGATTGAAATCAACTGCTGGCAGTTTTGGTTTCCATCAGAGAGAGTGCATCCCCGATCATTACCTTTGTCCGACAAAGGGGTTGATCCTATCACTATGATCACCCACTCAGATGAATTCTCAGACTGTCCCAACATGCCCAGGTTTTGACCCCCTCTAAGGATCTCATTGATTGGCACATCAAAGACAGCCTAATCCGACAAATAGTGTAGTATCATAATCAAGTCTGGGGTCAAGTGTAACATTCCAGTTTTGCCAACTTATCACCAAGGTCTAGGGAAACACTGGAATTCTGGTCCGATACAAGGTTTCAAGTTAAACCTACACTACATGTACCTCGGGTCTCACCCTGGCGGCTGAGACAAGCCACCCCAACCAACTTGGCGGCACATCAGTGTTAGCCTTATCAGGATAGATCTCCCCAGATCGACCCACTGGCTGTGAACATTCTAAACTAACATGAGCCTCATTATGTGTTCAGTTTAAGGGTATTACACAAAAACACACCACTATAACATGAATCAAATATATACTTTATTCATTTACAATAAATGTCATAATGTACATCAATTTGATTGGAGCTAAGGGCATACACTGTCTAACAACTCCCACTTGCACTTAGGACCAATCTGGTACAAGCCGGAGTCCCATACTTTCCACGTGTTTCTCAAACACCTTCTGTGTCAGTGGCTTAGTCAATGGGTCTGCCACATTCTCCGCTGATGCTACATTTTAACATCAATCTCCCATAGATCCAGTGTTGTCACACAACAGTGGAATGGGTGATGTGTGGAATTCCAAATTCCAGAATGAACACCTTCATTCATTAGGCAGTCTCACTTACGGCAATGTGTTCGGTTTGGGTTGTAGACTGTTATTTTCGCTACTTAGGACCCATGTTTATTGACTTTCAAGAAACAACAACGATCCTATCGTGAAAACATACCCAGATGTAACTTTCTATCACCTGGATCCGATTGAAAATCAGCATCAGTATACCCCTGGATCTGTAGTGAGCTACCATTGAATACCAAACAAAACTCTTTTGTCCTTCGAAGGTACTTAAGTATATTTTTCACAACAGTCCAATGCTCCTGCCCTGGGTTGTCCTAAAATTTGCTTACCACACTCATTGCCTAAGCAATGTCAGGACGAGTGCACAACATGGCATACATGATGCTCCCTACAGCTGAGGCATAGGGAACGTCCTTCATGCCCTCAATCTCCTCAGAAGTCTTGGGAGACATCTTCTTGGAGAGAGTGACTCCGTGCCTGAAAGGAACATTTCCCTTCTTGGAGTTCTCCATGCTGTATCTCTTGACTATTTTGTCAATGTAAGCAGATTGGGATAATCCTATTATCCGCTTCGATCTATCTCTATAAAGTCGAAGACCCAATATATAGGAGGCTTCTCCAAGATCTTTAATGGAAAATTGCTGTGAAAGCCATACTTTCGCCGTAGTCAACATTCCTACATCATTCCCAATGAGTAGAATGTCGTCTACATACAGAACCAAGAACGTAACCTTGTCCTCACTGGACTTCCTGTAAACATAGGGCTCATCCGAATTCTGCTTAAAGTCAAACTTTTTGATAGTAGAGTCAAACTGGATGTTCCAACTTCTAGAAGCTTGCTTAAGTCCATATATGGATTTATTTAATTTACATACCATGTGTTCCTGACCTGCAACTATGAAACCTTGCGGTTGCTGCATATAGATATCTTCAGTAAGATCTCCATTCAGGAACGCAGTTTTGACATCCATTTGTCCAATCTCGTAGTCATGGTATGCTGCTATAGGTAACAGGATCCGAATGGATTTAAGCATGGCCACGGACGAAAATGTTTCCTCATAATCGATGCCCTCTTTCTGAGTATATACCCTTTCGCCACCAGACGAGATTTGTAGGTCTTAACCTTACCATCAGGGCCCTTCTTCCTCTTATAGATTCATTTGCAACCAATTGCTTTAATCCCAGGGGTGGATCTACTAGAATCCAGAATCCATTGGTCTCCATCGAGTCCATCTCAGCTCTCATGGCATCTACCCACTTCAAGGAATCTATGTCCAACATAGCTTCTGCATAAGTCATGGGATCCTCCTCACTGGTCAAGGCTTCCACCAGGTAACTATTCTGATCATAGCCAAAACGGACTAGTGGCCTAGAAACCCAAGTAGATCTTCTAGGTTGGTCAATACCTGGAACCTGTAGGACACCTCCCACTGCTCTTGAGCTCTCATCATCAAGAACAACTTCCTGACGATGATTGTTCAGGATATAGTCATCCTCCAAGAAATGGGCATTCCGACTATAAAACACCTTTTGTTCTCCTGGGTCATAGAATAGGTAACCCACAGAGCCTTTGGGGTAGCCTACAAATAGGCAACGGCTGGTCTTGGATTCCAATTTGTCCGCACTCGCTCTTTTAACGTGTGTTGGACAACCCCAAATCTTCAAGTGTCTGACACTTGGTTTTTTCCGGTCCAAAGTTCATATGGAGTATTCGGAACTGATTTGGTTGGAACCCGATTCAGCACGTATATCGTAGTCTCTAATGCATAACCCCAGAAGGATGTGGGCAACTCTGAGTGTACGATAAGTGACCAGACCATATCCAATAAGATCATATTCCTTCTCTCTGAAACACCGTTAAGCTATGGTGTAGCAGGAGGAGCCAACTATGATACTATCCCGTTGACCTTCAAGTAGTCCCTAAATTCGTCAGAGAGATACTCGCCACCTCGATCCGATCGAAGGGTCTTAATTTCTCTCCCTAACTATTTCTCGACCTCTTGTTTTAACTCCTTAAACTTTTCAAAGGATTCGGACTTATGTTTCATTAGGTACACGTAACCATACCGAGAATAATCATCGGTGAATGTAATGAAATACACGTGCTAGTTACGAGTCCTAACACTCAAGGGACCACATACATCAGTATGTATAAGGTCAAGCGTGCCTATACATCTTTCAGGCTTACCGTTAAAAGGTCGTTTCGTCATCTTACCCTAAAGGCAAGGCTCACAAGTGGGAAGATCTTCTACAGTTAGAAAATCCAAAGACCATCCTTTACCAGCCTTGTGATACGATCAATATTGGTATGGCCAAGTCGGTAATGCCACAGGCACGTGGGATTAACTGTATCCCATATTCTTTTCTTGGGGATATCAACCGACGTAGTTTCGGTTATGTTAGTTTCTAGAGAAGGATGGAGAACATAGATACCATTCTCAAGTTCTCCGTATGCGATGAATCTATTGTTTCTTTTAATAGTAATCGTATTACTAAAGAAGATAGAATATCCATCTGCACACAGTTTTGAGACAAAAATCAAATTTCTTCTTAA